CACTGGAAATGGCTTGAAACTGAGCTCAAAGTAGCAGAAATGTTAAATTTTTGCCGATATTCAAGAGTAAACAAACAACCTCACACATCTAATACACGTCAGCTGGTGGGTCTAATATGCATTCACAAATATGGTGATGATATTTATACAATTATTACAGTATTGCATAACAGTAAATCTTCTATTTTTTGGTGTGAATAAAAATTCATTATGTGAATAAAAAATCAAAATGGAATTTATTTGTAAAGCCTCAAAACGTAACTAATGAACAGAAGAAATGTTAGTTTAGTTCCAGGAATACCTACATTGTTTATTCTGGACCCTATTTTGAAATTGGAATATTTTGAACTTTGTGTTAAATTGGCCAAATTAACAATTTCCGGTCACTTTAATTTGTAGTTGAAACAGCTGACTTGGCGATTTCTTGTGCTCAATCGATAGAACAGAAGTAATACTAGTGAAATAGCTAAGAATTAGGTTGACTGGAATAATGTAATTGGCCTAAAATGGGAGTCAAAGTCGGCAAAATCGCCGATTCGTAAATATCGCTGACACGTCAAAATTCGCGAGAGCATAATTTCGTCAATTTTCCATCAAATTTCGTACTTTTTGTTTTATTACCTTCACAAAAAGATTCTCTACCATTTCATAAGAAAAAATAACAAATTTTTTTTTTTGAAAATTCTTGGACACTGAGGCACCACTTCAGATTTGGGCCTTGGACCCTGAAGGGGTTAAGGAGATTATTCGTAGAATATTCAAGGGGTTACTAGTAGAACTATATTAAATCAACCATTCAAATCACATTATGAAGCTCTATGTAGTCTGCAGTCAATCAAACAAACAGGCTTCCTCATGGATTACTTGCCATTTTTGTGAAAATTGGTGTCACACCCCTTGTGCAGATATCCAAGAACTACCTACAAGCAGTATTAAATCAGGGAAGTGTTTTTGGGTATACCCAAATGAGATAAATCTGTTGATTAAAATCACATTGGTATTAAAAGAGGATAACATCAAAGCAGCCTTCATAGAAAACCTGGAAGCATTCTATAACAGATGGGAAAATAAAAAATCTGGGCTGGATGGTATTGCCCTTGGTGCTGGCCATGTAGTCAGAAACTGTAAGGCTGGAGGTGCTGCCCTGGTAGACAGTAATGGTGAAGCTGGAGGTGCTGTCCTGGGAGACAGTAATGAAGCTGGAGGTGCTGTCCTGGAAGACAGTAATGGTGAAGCTGGAGGTGCTGTCCTGGGAGACAGTAATGGTGAGGATGGAGGTGCTGTCCTGGGAGACAGTAATGGTGAGGATGGAGATGCTATCCTGGGAGACAGTAATGGTGAGGATGGAGGTGCTGTCCAGGTAGTCAGTAAATGTACGCATGAGGGAATGCATATAAATGACCTCGAGGGAGACAGGAGCTGTAGTGGGGAAACAAGTGTAGTCAAGGACAAGATAAAACCAATATTACAAACTAGTAATACCACAAGAGATAGCAAACAAGGGAACTCCACTAGCAATAGTGAGGATATATTACCAGAAACAACTGGTGAGAGCTCCATTGTTAGTACTAGTGAGGATAGGAATGAGACAGGTAAACATGCACCAACAGGGAATACAGTCACAGAAACCCAAGGCAAACGGAAACCAAGCCTGTGCACATACTATACACTTGGTATCTGCAAGCATGAGAAATCTGTTGTTAGGTAAGACACATATGCAACAGTTAGGTATCTTTATTTCGAAACGTTTCGCCTACACAGTAGGCTTCTTCAGTCGAGTACAATAAAGATACCTAACTGTTGCATATGTGTCTTACCTAACAATCTGTTGGTATTTTATACCATTTTAATGTTCATGAGAAATCTGGAAAAACAGATGGGACGTGCAACTATGACCACCCTAGAAAATGCCGTGCCCATATGACAACAGGAAAATGCAAACTCACTTCCTGTAAGCTTTTTCACCCTGAAATGTGTCCCTCTTCAGTACAGGAAAGACTGTGCTATAACTTAAATTGCCAAGCACAACATCTAAAGAGGACAAAAAGATATAAAACATCCAGGCCATGGGAAAACCTGGGTAGCCACAGCCACTCAAGAGGGAGAGAGCTTTTTAATGCCAGGAAGGAAAAAAACTGGCAGGAAATAGTACGCCAAATCCAGTCATTTCTGAAGTGGAACCACAGTCGATGGCCTCCACTCCAAACCAACAGATACAGATACTAGTGCCAGAAAAAAAAGTCCTCCCCCAGTACCACCAATACCACCAGTCCGATGACATTCTTCTTTGCAAATATACAGGGTCTAAAGCCAGGAACGAACAACAAAATACCTTTCATCCGTGGACTGCTTGCAGAGGCAAATGCAATGTTCGCGGCCTTCACAGAGACCCACATAAAGGATCACTTGGACAACGAAATATGGCTCCCAGGTTACGACCTATACAGATGTGACAGAATGAACAGGCAAAAGGGAGGGGTTGGCCTGTATATCGCAGAGTCACTTGTTTGCACAGAACTGCTTAATGCCTCAAATGATGTAGTGGAAGTTAGCAGTAAAGATCGAGAACCAAAACCTAGTCACTGGGGTAGTCTACAAGCCTCCGGATGCAATTCCAGCAATTCCAGGAACAGCTGTCAAAAACTGACCACTGTCTGGAAAATCTGCCAGCTCCTGCCCCCAACATCTTGCTCCTGGGGGATTTCAACTTGAGGCACCTAAAATGGAGGAATATAGCAAATAATGTTGTTGCAGTGATAACACCAGGAGGCAGCTCTGACAAGAACTCACACATACATGAGCTTTTAAATCTCTGCACAAAATTCAACTTAAACCAGAAAATAATAGAGCCTACTAGATTGGAGAATACACTAGACCTCATCTTCACTAACACTGATGATCTGATATGAAATGTCACCATATCAAAAACAATATACTCATATCACAACAAAATCGAGGTTCAGACATGTATGCGCGGAGCCCCAGACCGACAAAATGAGATTAGTTACGAGGGAGCCTTCACCAAATTCAACTTCAATAACAAGAACATAAAGTGGGACCAAGTAAATCAAATCCTAAACGATATAAGCTGGGAAGATAGACTAAGTAACACAGACCCCAACTTATGCCTAGAACAGATTAACTCGGTGGCACTCGATGTAAAATAGAAAGAGACAGGCGCTCACTTTACAGATGACGGAAAAGAATAACAAAGCGGCTAAAAGAGGCCAATATATCTGAAATGCGTAGGGAGTCACTGGTCAGAGAAATAGCAAACATCGAACTTAAGCTAAAGGATTCTTATAGGAGTCAGGAATCGCGGGAAGAACTAAAAGCCATGAATGAAATCGAAAGAAACCCAAAGTATTTCTTTTCTTATGCTAAATCAAAGTCGAGAACAACATCCAGTATTGGGCCCCTACTTAAACAAGATGGGTCATACACAGATGACAGCAAGGAAATGAGTGAGCTACTCAAGTCCCAATATGACTCGGTTTTTAGCAAGCCGCTAACCAGACTGAGAGTCAAAGATCAAAATGAATTTTTTATGAGAAAGCCACAGAATTTGGTTAACACAAGCCTATCTGATATTATCCTGACACCAAATGGCTTCGAACAGGCGATAAGTGACATGCCTATGCACTCTGCCCCAGAGCCAGATTCATGGAACTCCGTGTTCATCAAGAACTGCAAGAAGCCCCTATCATGAGCTTTTACCATCCTATGGAGAGGGAGCATGGACACGGGGGGGTCGTCCCACAGTTACTAAAAACAACAGACAGCCCCACTTCACAAAGGGGGCAGTAAAGCAATAGCAAAGAACTACAGACCAATAGCACTAACATCCCATATCATAAAAATCTTTGAAAGGGTCCTAAGAAGCAACACGGGTTTAGAGCAGGTCGCTCCTGTCTGTCTCAGCTACTGGATCACTACGACAAGGTCCTAGATGCACTAGAAGACAAAAAGAATGCAGATGTAATATATACAGACTTTGCAAAAGCCTTCGACAAGTGTGACCATGGCGTAACAGCGCACAAAATGCGTGATAAAGGAATAACAGGAAAAGTTGGTAGATGGATCTATAATTTCCTCACAAACAGAACACAAAGAGTAGTATTCAACAGAGTCAAGTCTGAGGCGGCTACGGTGAAAAGCTCTGTTCCACAAGGCACAGTACTCACTCCCATCTTGTTTCTCATCCTCATATCTGACATAGACAAGGATGTCAGCCACTTGTTCTATCTAGGCTGGAATATTGCTGCACACTAACAGCACCTTTCAAGGCAGGTGAAATTGCTGACCTAGAAAATATAGAGAGAGCCTTCATGGCGCTCATAATGGAGATAAAACACCTCATTTACTGGGAGCGCTTGAAGTTCCTGAACCTGTGCTCCCTGGAACGCAGGCAGGAGAGATACATGATTATATACACCTGGAAAATCCTAGAGGGACTAGTACTGAACTTGCACACGAAAATCACTCACAACGAATGCAAAAGACTCGGCAGACAATGCAACATCCCCCCAATGAAAAGCAGGGGTGTCCACTATTTTGGCTATAGAAATGTTTCCTGGGTTCTTAGTCATGCACTCGGGTCACTTAAACTTCACCACCTTGTTAAGGGCAACCTAGCTTTGGGAAAATTTAGGAAAGGGTGAGTGTAGATCCAGTGTTTGCATCAAAACATAAATAAACAATTCTGTATGTGCTTTCACCTGACAATGCTTCACTACAAGCACTAAGAATATTCTTCAATTTACATAGTGTTTTATTGTATATTTGTCCATAATTAATACGATAAAAGCAACTAAAGGAAAATATTTTGGTAAATTGGATTGATACCTCGTCTCTTAGCCTTCATCCTGACCCTTATGAATGTGTAGGTTCCTCATGGATATAATAATAATATTAACTATATGTACTCACAAGACATGCAGCATTAAAGACAGGGAATGGTATTCAAAAGGAAAATCAATATAATGTACATATATCAATATTTCATTTATGTCAATAAATATTTGTATACAAAACACTTCATGCAGCTGGTTAAATTTGTATTTTAAAGTAAATCATAATTTATGGATACTGATAAGTGGCTTAAATGACATGTAAGCAAACATTAGGACAAGTTCATTAAGAAGGTCCTGGGACCTTCATCACTACTAACAGTGATGAACATCCCAGGACAGAAACATCTTAATAAACATGTCCTAGTGTTTTCTCACCTGTCTTTTTAAACCATCATTACACCTGGTTAATTATCTTATAACAGGGTTAAAGCATGCTTCATTCGCTCAACAGCTGTATCTTGCCCGAGCATATATAGCATCTCACCAACAGGAGGACCTTCCTGGAAAAAAGTACACCCACATTAATGTTCGGCTGTGCATGATTCCATAATACAGCGAGAAAAGTGTTCAGTAAAATCAAATAAAAAAAAGTTATGTAGTAGGCTATGTAATATAATTAAGTAAAGACTACCAAGTTAATACAGGATAATAACATTTACACATGGAGCAGGTTATTTCCAAATCAATATAAATATTATGTTTAGAGGCTTAACTACACCATATTATAATAATAATAATAGTATCTGTAATAATAATATAAAAAGGGCTGGGCACTTCCCCATAAAAATAAATACACACCCATCATACAGTATGACTCACCTTCATACCAGTGACAGTCATCCTTATTAACTTCATGATGGCAGGAATCTTCAGGCCATACTGCCTACTTACATCTTTTATTTCCTCAACAATACGTTCTTTATTAAAGTTTGATATGGAACTGATAACTTGTAAAACACACCGCAAGACTTCAGCTGGAAAGATTATAATTTTATTTTTTGAAACCTTGGACAAAGTAACCTGTTAATTAAGAACAATTCCATAATATTGGAGCTACCCTACTTTTCCTCAGACAGGCAATGACTGCCTCTCATTTTCCAGGCATTGCATGACTTGCAAGTTTAGTGCTTCCTAACAATTGTAACAGTAAACCTTATCAATAGAGAGAAACAATATAAAACTGATTGTTTTTCATTTACAGATGAGGTCAGTAATAACACTGCTTGTTATGTATTTTCTTTGACGGATACACACACACACACTCGGTGGCCACTTTATTAGGTACAGCTGCTCATTAATGCAAATATCTAATCAGCCAATCCCATGGCAGCACCTCAATGCCTAAAAGCATGCAGATATGGCCAAGAGGTTCAATTGTTGTTCATACCAAACATCAGAATGGAGAAGAAATGTGATACAAGTGACTTGGACCATGGAATCATTGTTGGTGCCAGAGGTGATTTGAGTATCTCAGAAATTGCTGAGCTCCTGGAAATCTCATGCACAACAGTCTTGACTCTAGAATTTACAGAGAATGGTGTGAAAAACATAAAACATCCAGTGAGTAGCAGTTCTGTAGGTAAAAACACTGATAATGAGAGAGGTAAAAGCATAGTTCAAGCTGCCCAGGCAACTTATGTTCCAAATAGGGAAATTAGATCAAACAAAAATAACTCTAAATGGATAAACAATAGATTAAAACAGCTCATAGGTCAAAATAGAGACATTTGCAAGTGAATCAAAAAAAGTGAGGAGCACTTAAGGAATCAATATTCAGTCAGAGTAATCAAAAAAGGAATAAGAAAACTCAAATGAGATTATGAAGTTAAAGTTGCAAGAGATTCAAAGATCAACCCAAAAAGTTTCCTTCAGGTATATAGGAGTAAGATTAGGGACAAGATAGTCCTACTTAAAAGTTGCTCAGGTCAGCTTACTGTCAGTAACAAAGAAATGTGCACAATCTTCAACACTTATCAGTAAAATTCCAGAAATCAAAAATTACAAAGGTCAGGACGAAAACAAGCCATGCTCGATAAAAGTCACTAGTGACATGGTTCTCCAACAAACACAGATTAAAAGTAAATAAATCACCAAGCTCTTAAGGGTTATAAAGCAATATAAGCAGGAACTCAGCAAACTATTAGCTAGTCTTTTCAACATATCATCACAAACTGGCATAATGCCAGATAAATGGAAAATAGCAAATGTGATACTTATCTACAAAACAGGAGATAGGTCATTAGCTACGAATTACAGACCAATTAGCCTAACCTCCACTGCGCAAAAAATTGATGGAATCAATAACTGCCAAGGCTATTCAAAGCCACCTTGAAAAACATAAATTCATCAATGACTCTCAGCACTTTTCAACAAAGGGACATTCCTGCCTTACAAATTTATTAACTTTTCTCACTAAGGTATTTGAGGAGGCAGATCATGGTAATGAATACGATATTGTGTATTTGGACTTCAGTCACGCCTCTGATAGAATGCCACACCAGAGATTGTTGAGGAAAGTAGAGGCACATGGAAAAGGAGGGAAAATCTCTTCCTGAAGAGAGGTATGGTTGACTGATAGGTAACAAAGTGTTTGTATAAATCAGGTGAAATCGAACTGATGGCACTGAATCTGCAGTCTCTAGAAAGGCATAGAATTAGGGGAGATATGACTGAGGTGTATAAACAGAAGACAGCAATAATGAAGGGGATATAAATCTTCTTCTTTCTTTCAACGTACCAGCCATATCCCACTGAGGTGGGGTGGCCCAAAAGGAAAAACGAAAGTTTCTCCTTTTAAATTTAGTAATATATACAGGAGAAGGGGTTACTAGCCCCTTGCTCCCGGCATTTTAGTCGCCTCTTACGACACATGTGGCTTACGGAGGAAGAATTCTGTTCCACTTCCCCATGGAGATAAGAGGAAATAAACAAGAACAAGAACTAGAAAGGAAATAGAAGAAAACCCAGAGGGGTATGTATATATATGCTTGTACATGTATGTGTTATAAGTAGTAGGTTGGTTGACAGCAGCCGCCCAGGGAGGTACTACCGTCCTGCCAGGTGAGTGTAAAACTGAAGCCTGTAATTGTTTTATACGATGGTAGGATTGCTGGTGTCTTTTTTTTTCTGTCTCATACACATGCAAGATTTCGGGTACGTCTTGCTAATTCTACTTACACTTAGATCACACTACACATACATGTACAAGCATATATATACACACCCCTTTGGGTTTTCTTCTATTTTCTTTCTAGTTCTTGTTCTTGTTTATTTCCTCTTACCTCCATGGGGAAGTGGAACAGAATTCTTCCTCCGTAAGCCATGCGTGTTGTAAGAGGCGACTAAAATGCTGGGAGCAAGGGGCTAGTAACCCCTTCTCCTGTATATATTACTAAATGTAAAAGGAGAAACTTTCGTTTTTCCTTTTGGGCCACCCCGCCTCGGTGGGATACAGCCAGTGTGCTGAAAGAAAGACATGTATGTGTAGTGTGACCTAAGTGTAAGTAGAAGTAGCAAGATGTACCTGAAATCTTGCATGTTTATGAGACAGAAAAAAGGACACCAGCAATCCTACCATCATGTAAAACAATTACAGGCTTTCATCTTACACTCACTTGGCAGGACGGTAGTACCTCCCTGGGTGGTTGCTGTCTACCAACCTACTACCTAAAGGGGATATAAATAACATGCATAAATATCTAACCAAGACAGGACATGCAGCAATGGGTTCAAGATGGAAAAATTTACATTTAGAAAGAATATAGGAAAGAGGTGGGTTAGTAACAGTCGTGGATCAGTGGAACAAACTCCCAAGCAGCATCACTGAATAAAAATTCTTGGAAGTTTTAAAAACAGGTCAGACAAGTAAGTACATGAGGTGTGACTTGGACTTGCCTAACATAGGTCAATAAGCCTGCTCAATGCTTCTTCCTTCTTATGTTTTTATAACAATGGCCAGACTGGTTCAAGCTGAGAGAGGTGACAGTAACTCAAGTAACCATGAATTACAACAGGATGTGCCTAATAAAGTGGCCACTGTGTACATGCAGGCCAATATTCACAGAATTAATTTGCATACTTTCCAATTTCTAAAGCAGTCAATGACATACTTGTATTATTTTTACAAATATAAATGAGATACATACCATGCTTGCAAGACATTGCTGGAAGCTCCTCTATAGGAATGGAGTCTGGCACAACCCAAATATATGCAAATTCAGGCTGTAATAAATCTTGAAGACGAACAATTCTCTTTTCAAAATATATCAGTACTCTTTTTAAATAATCTGCAGTCAGAACTTTTGCTTGAGTGGTACTTGATGAAAGTCTGAAAAATTATAACACATCTTGCAACACTTTCTAAAGTACATAATGTGCTACAATGAAGAATGAGCAGCATTCCACATTTACTGCATTATGCTATACTTTTAGTACTTCACATGAATATATACATAATGTACTTAACTACAGGTATGGTGCATTTTTATGACTACTGTATAATAATAATAATCACCATGTAGTGAGTCATGCTGTTCATTAGGTATCCCTGAAGGGATACTTTTAATTCAGGAAAGAGCATAGGTAATGAGGTCAAAGAGGAATATTGTACATCCAAAAATGTAATGGTAAAATGCAAAGCAGAGGTTTGTGGTTATCAGAGAGTGGGTGCTGATGGGAAGAGAAACAATTAGTGGAATGACAAGGTGAAATAATTAGAATATGAGAGGTAAAACAGCTGGGTTAGACAGGATTAAGACTAAGATGGTAAAAACAGGTTTGGATAGTTTTTGAGTAGTTGGTTTATCTATTCAATATGTGCATGAAAGAAGGAAATGTACCTGTGGACTGGCAGAAGGCACGCATAGTTCATTTGTAAATGGAAAAGAGGGGACATAGAGTACTAGAAAGTTGAGTATACCAGATAGAATTATTACTGAAAGAGTTAAGAATAAGTCAGAAATTAAGAAAGCAGAAGAATAAGAAGAAGGGTAAATGACATAAAGACTAAGTGTTTACAATGAAGCATATTCTCAGGTGCTAAAGTGTACTAAGTTCACTATTTTGCCATTATATTCCCAAGCTCATTTATTTGATTACCACTTTATTGTTCACCACAACTTATATTAGTCCCTTTTATATTATAATTTTGTATTATAATTCTAACTTTAAAGAATTACCTTTAAAGTACTACCTACTATCATATTCCCACGCTCCATTATTTGATCATCACTTTATTTGTTCACCACAAATTATTTTAGTCCCTTTTATATTGTCTCCTTTATTTTAGCTTTAAAAAACTACCTTAGCTCATTATTTTTACATTTGTTAAATAATTCAGGTGCTATTTTTTAGCTTTGGAATATTTACTTTGTTTTATACTTAATTCTAACTATAGATTCACTACAAATCTTATGATTACAAGCATTGATCCTGATACCAACCTCTTATTTAATGACTTAAATTAATCAAACAGTTACTGTAATTACTACACAGCAGAACAATCAAAGGCACTTCTCAGAGCCAACAAAAACATAACTGTCTTTAACTACAATATCAGATCTTTAAGCAAGCATTACGATGGCCTCATAGCATTACTAAATTCCTTGCATGCCAATATGTCCATCATTACACTAACTGAAACCTGGCTAAAGCCTGATACTACAGATGTCTATGCCATTCCTGGTTACACAGCCATACACAACTGTAGGCCAGACCAACAAGGGGGTGGCACAGCTATATACTACTCAGACCAACTAGAATGTATCACTAATACTTGCACAAGGGATGAACATGGGGAATATATAATAGCTAAATTCAAATCCAAATACCTACAAAAACCTCTCACATTGATAAACATCTACAGAGTTCCACAGTCAAACATTAGCCAATTTAGTCAAAACCTAGGAAGTATGATAACTGATGCACGCATGAACAAAGATCACTTACTACTCTCAGGAGACTTCAATATAAATCTCCTGCAAGACCAGGACCCACACATTACTGAATTCACAAACACAATGAGTAACTGCATGTTGCTACCAACAGTAACAAAACCTACAAGAGTTACGGAGATTAGTGTTTCCCTACTTGACCACATCTGGACCAACACCATATCCCCTTTAAAATCAGGCATAATTACAGATAATACCACAGACCACTACCCTACTTTCCTCATAACAACTCTTGGTAAATTACCCCAAGACACTACTAAAGTCACCTTCAGACTTCACAATGAGGCAGCCATTAATAACTTCACAACAGCAGTAACAAACACTGACTGGCACACTGAGCTAGAAATCTATACAGATATTGACGAATGTTTTAATAATTTTCTAAAAAAGACCCAATACCTCTATAACAAGCACTGCCCTAAAAAAACTAAACAGATGACAGCTAAGAGACTGAACAGTCCCTGGCTAACACCCAGCATTCTCAAATACATAAATACAAAACACCGATATGAAAAACAGTACAGAATGGGTCACATAACCAGAGACCAAACAAAACGTTACTCATCAATCCTAACCAGCCTGATAAGAAGGGCAAAAAAATTGTAGTATTATGAGAACAGATTATCCAACTTACGAGGTGATATAAAAAAGACCTGGAAAACCCTATCAGAAATTCTGGGAACAAAAAAGATATCACGAAATAGCAAAATAAAATTAGCAAAATCAGATGAACCCCAACTCCCACCAACAGAAACAGCAAACAGACTCAATGATTTCTTCACTATAGGACAAAACCTTGCCAATAAAATCCCAAGCTCAGATACCCCACCAAATGACTACCTCACTGGCAACTACCCAAACACACTGTTCCTAGCTCAGACTAACCCATACGAAGTCTCCCTTATTATCAACGCACTAAAAAACAAGGCAGGAGATTTAAATACCTTACCACCCTTTATATACAAAAAAGTGTCACAAGTGTTATCACCAATCATTGCAACACTCTTTAACAAATCCATTGAATCCTCCACCTTCCCTACAGTTCTCAAAATAGCAAGGGTCACCCCGATCCATAAAGGAGGAGACCAAACAGAGTTGAATAACTATAGGCCAATATCCAATTTACACCCTCTCTCAAAAATCTTCGAAAAATTAATTCATAAACGAATCTACTCCTACCTCATCTCCCAAAACATACTCAACCCCTGCCAATTTGGATTCAGGCCTAATAAAAATACTAATGATGCTATTATACACATGCTAGAACATATATACACTGCAATAGAGAAAAAAGAAGTCCCACTGGGGATCTTCATTGACTTACGTAAAGCTTCTGATACAGTTGACCATGACTTGCTCCACATAAAATTGTCACACTATGGTATAAGAGGGCACTCCCTCAACTACCTCAAGTCATACCTCAGCAACAGAAGCCAATATGTGTACGCAAATGGGGCAAGCTCTTCCGCACAACCAATTACAGTTGGTGTCCCACAGGGAAGCGTCCTTGGCCCTCTTCTCTTTCTCCTATACATAAATGACCTACCAAATGCTTCGCAATTACTCAGACCCACACTATTTGCAGATGACACTACATATGTCTTCTCTCACCCGAGCCCAGTCACGCTAGCCAATACTGTAAATACCGAATTACAGAAAATATCTACCTGGATGAGGACTAACAAACTTACACTAAACATTGACAAAACCTACTTCATTCAGTTTGGTAACAGAGCTACAGATGTCCCTCTTAACATAATGATAAACGGATCACCTATCACAAAGCTAACAGAGGGAAAATTCTTAGGAATCCACCTTGATAATAGACTCAAATTTCATACACATATACAACAAATTTCTAAGAAAATTTCCAAGACTGTAGGCATACTATCGAAGATACGGTACTATGCTCCACAGTCAGCCCTCCTGGCCCTTTATCACTCTCTTATTTACCCCTATCTCACCTATGGAATTTGTGCATGGGGCTCAACAACAATTAACCATCTCAGACCACTAATTACCCAACAAAAGGCTGCAGTTAGAATGATAACAAATTCTCACTACAGGCAGCACACTCCACCAATATTCAAAACACTCAACCTACTCACCATACAAAACATCCATACTTATTATTGCACCTATTACATACATAGAACACTTAACTCTGATATTAACCCTCCCCTCAAACATCTTGCCAACCTCAACAGAACACATGACCATAACACAAGGCACAGATCACTCTTTGATGTTCCTCGTGTCCATCTCACGCTATGCAAAAACTCAATGGTCCTCCATCAACTCTTCCACATCCTTGCCAATCACATCCAACCCCATGGACTTCCCAAGTGCCACAATAGATTGCACAACAGGCATAGGGTCCTCAGGGTCAGTCCCAAACCCTTCAAAATCCCTCTCTTGGACACAATCTGGCCACATTTTTCTCCAAGCAGAGTTCAAAGTCCTGGAAGTCACTCCCTGCCAAGTCTTAGCTATAAAGCTTATGGAATGGAAGATACTGAAGTGATTCCTCCAGAACTCTCTTAGGGTCAACTGAGCATCCAAGGTCACTTCAAAGCACCTTTGAAACACTGCTTTTGCGTAGAGTTTTTCGAAGTTTGATATGACCTGCTGGTCCATGGGCTGGATGAGAGGAGTGGTGTTAGAAGGCAAGAACTTCACTGTTATAACACGGAAGTCCCTGAACAATTGGTCTTCCAAGTCTGGAGGATGAGCAGGAGCATTGTCCAATAGTACCAGGAGGCACTTGAGTTACAATTTCTTTTCCAGGAGGTATTTTTCACACTGGGGCCAAACACATCATTGACCCACTCTTTGAAAATGTGCCTTGTGACCCATGCCTTATTATTAGCTTTCCACATCACACACAATCTATTCTTGACAACATTGATTTTCTTGAACAATCTGTAAGTTTCAGAGTGATACACCAGTAAAGGCTTCACTTTGAAATCCTCACTAACATTACCACAGAACAAAAGAGTAAGCCTGTCTTTCATAGGCTTGTGTCCTGGCAGTGCTTTTTCCTCCTGTGTAATGTAGGTCCTGTGTAATGTAGGCCTGTTTCATCACAACTGAACACCTGTTGGGGGAGGAATCCTTCAGCCTCTACGTACCCCTTGAATTCTTGCACAAATTTTTCAGCTGCACATTTGTCAGAACTTGCAGCCTCCCCATGCCTTACCACACTGTGTATGCCACTATGCTTCTTAAATCGCTCAAACCAGCCTTTGCTGGCCATAAATTCACTAACAGCAGCACTTCTTCCAGGCATTTTCTTTACAAGATCCTCATGCAACTGCCTTGCCCTCTCACAAATCATCGACTCCACAACACTATCTCCCGCTAATTGTTTTTCGGT